CAAAATACCCAAATTAATGAAAATTTAAATAAAATATTCACAAATTATATGTTCGAGAAATCCATTATATAAGACCCTCAAAATGCTATTTTGTCAGAGCCTGCTGGGGCTTTTCTCAAAAATTAAACCAGGTCTCCAGGTCTCTGCCCTTGGACCACCAATTTTCAAAAAGTCCACTTTTTAAAACCTATTATTTCATTAAAATCATTCCTAATTATCGCGAAATGCTATAGGCCTAGTATGCATTACATTTTTTTTGCCCGCTCTTCTAACCATTGATTTTTAAATCTGTTGGAAATTGACCCATGTCATCTGTAGACCTACAGATGTAAATTACATAAAAGTTACAACTTCACAGTGGTGGATTAGGGGGTGGGGGAGGGAGAGCTCCCTAAAATTATAAAAGAAATGGAAAAAAAAAAATCATAATTAAATTTTGTTTGAGAGTGCCATAATCACAAGTTTTCTTACCTCAGCCCCATCCATGGTGGGGCTGAGGGGGTTCTTACCTCAGCCCCAACCATGGTGGGGCTATGGTATTGGTATTCATGACCATCTATCTGTAAAAAAAGTTCCTTCTGGTCCTGGAAACCATGCTTTATGTCCCTATATAATACCCAAAATGGAATGGAAATTTATATAGAATATTACGAATTATAGGTTTTACAAATCCATTATAAAAGGCCCTTAAAATGATAATTTGTCGGTGCTTCCGGGATTTGCACCCCCCCCCCCACGGGGATCCCTAGGCGGTCGCCCATCCTAAAAGGTCCGCTTCGGTCGCAAAATCGCACCTCCCCATCGAAAATCCTGCGTACGGGCCTGCGGTCATTATGCCAGTAAAATGTTGTTGGCTAACTTATTATAGCTGTGAAAATGATCGTGCCTGCCTGTGGACGACCTACTACAACTCTCTTTTTGTACCACCTTGCCATGCCTAGCCAAGGTACAGGCCAATAACTATAGAATAGGACGATGTCATAGAAGGCCTATTGTTCGCACACAAAACAACACACTGTCGATCACAACATAACAACTCTCTGGTGTAAACAATTACAATCACCACGATAGGCGAATGACTACGAATAAATAGCACTGACAGTTAATGATTTACAGAAACTTACCGTCTGTTTGTCTTTTGTTACAATGTTTCTGAGTTACAATGGTTTCTGGTCAGAACGGCAATAAACCAAAACGGCAATAAGTCAAAACGGCAATGACCAAAAACGGCAAAAAACCAAAACGGCAACATTTTTGCCCAGAACGGCAATGGACCAAAACGCCAATAAGTCAAAACGGCAAGACCAACCAGCAATTGGCCTATAGTCAAAACGGCAGTAAACCAAAATGGTCTAAGTTTTTTTTAAGAATTAAAACATATTTTCAATGTGGCCCTACATAAAACCAATTAGACAAATTGTAGGCCTACACGATAATACGGTAAAAATGAGGCTAAATGTCATAAAAGTAAAAATAATAAACCAGTTATTAAAACATGAAAGTGTACAAACGATTAAATATGGTAAAAATTAGACTAAATTGTCATAGAAGTAAAAAATGCCAAAGAACGACAACAACGAACAACAATAATAATATTAATATTAATAATAATAAAAAAATAATAATAAATAACATTAAAATATACGGTAAATAAGATCATATAGCCGTCGGAAGCATTTTGCAAGTTTTGGCCATTAGGCTAATAGGCCTATAAAATAGCGGGGTGGGGGTGGCGGTTGGGCGCTAAAATATGTAGTTGTTTGACCGCTAACCCCATGATACAGGATTTTAAAGTTAATCCGGGCCTCTGAGAGCATATCCACCCACCTCCATCATGGTTGGGAGGAGGCACACATCTAGATGGGGGGGGGGACTGAAGCGCAGCACCAGGCTCTGAATGCCCAGAAGACGGATCGCAAATTACGTCCAGTATTCTCGCGAGTTTATGTTCGTTATTCTTCATAGGCATTTTTTTTATTCGGCGGCGTTATTTTGTTCGCAACGCCAGGATGGCTAAGATAAGTAAGATTAAAACTAATAATGTACCGTATCTAAAAAGGCACTTACTATCCGAAATATATGTAGTCTTAGTGAAGAGATCCAAGAAGAATGTTGCTTATTCCTTCATTAATAAATAAGGTGCAAGGACAGGAATGCATATATAATCAGGCCTGTACATAATGAAGAATGAATAACAGTGACTATATTTACACAACGTGCAGGGTATCTTTGAAATATAAACATGAACAGATGCGATTAATTAAAAACGTGTTATGAATACACAGGATGCAATATGTTATGCGATTTGGGAATAGGCCTACAAAGAATTCCGTGATTTCGAGCGCCTGAAGCATTTATTAAATAATTGATAACGCTTAGATGAGGTTACTATCACTTAAATTGTTAAAAGTGTTCTAAATTAAGTTCTGTGTTCGCTTCTGTTAGACCTTATACGTACCGATACACTTTAACATTTACCGTAGTTTATGTATGGCAGACAGGAGGTATACACGTCGATCCAGAGGTTTTTGTGAAAAGGTTTTACAGTGGTCCCCGTGGAAACCTTGTTTACTTGGGTGCCCAGAAAAAATATGTAATAATTATGATTAACTAAATTAATTTAATTATGGTACAGTACTGAAAAGAAATTGAATTTTGAACAAGTTATCATTTCGCAATATACCTACATTGATTGTTGATGGTGATGATGAGAGGACAATAAGAACTATGAACGGTGATGATAGTGATAACGATGATGATGATGATGATGATGATGATGATGTCGCTGACGATGGTTGTGGCGTTATAGTATGCACACTGAACGGAAGCGAGCCCTAGCTGGAATGAAGGAAAGGACAGACTCCAACCCCAACATTTTTTAATTAGTTAATTGTTATTATATATTTATACCTCTGAACATTTTCAAAATAAATCTTACTAAAATTAAATATTGTCAAAATAATTGAAATGTTCATAGGCAAAATAAAAACAAGCGCATGGTGTAATTTTGTTAAATATGTACCGGTGCATAAAGAAGACAATATGATGCAAACATTAATAATAAATTCATGTAATTTGGCATCGGTATATTATTCAAAAAATCATAATTGAGAAAAAAGTGGACCGGCTAAAGCCGGTGCGACCGGTACGGTTCCGACGGCCCTGACTTTATTCGTCATGAATTTAAAATAAATCTCATGAAAATAATTGTTTTGCTTGGAAGGACAAAAACATCAAGTATGCCAATTAAATTGACCACAAGCAAAAAAAAAAACACATCAAGAATATGCAATATAACAACTAAAAAAATGACAAAACTGTACAACTTGCAAAAATCCTAACTTAACATTGCCCAATTAAATTTGTGTATTCTTCTTAACATTTATAATTATTATATTATTATTCATGAGACAAAATGACGCATTATAGACAAAATGAAGCATCTAATCTAAATAATTCGTCATAAAAAAAAAAAAAAAAAAAAAAAAAAAAAAAAAAAAACAAAACAAAACAAAACAAAAAACAAGAAAAAAAAAAGCGATTAAACATTAAAACATGACAATATTCGATTTGCCTATCGGGACAATTTCAAAACGATACAGAAAACTATAAACTGCAGTCCGCGCCCAGTGGCGCTTGCATTCAAAAACATACAGTATACAGTCTTGTCATTCCGTTTTGGTGCTTATCATTGCCGTTTTGTTTATTGCCGTTTTGACCTGCTACCGTTACATAGTTGTCACTTATCCGGGCGGTCACATGAGGTTTATGAATATATATATCATTCGTAACGCTTGATCAACCCAGAGTAGAGAAAATCGCCAAATTTAGATTAAAAATTCTGAATAGCTCAATAAATGAATCAATAATTTCCAACCATAGAGATAAAAAGGTTTTTGCTAACAATGGTACTGTATAGACAATTTATTACCAGCCGATTATAAGGTTCATCGAATAAAATTGTTATTGAAATTATTCAGAAAGTTACCTATGATTAATATTTTTTATTCATTAGTCTAATCTGAACTTTTACCCTGTTTAAATGTCGTGTGATTTACCAACTTGTTTATTTTTGTATTCATAACAATATATCATCCAGTGTTGTACTTAATACAGGTGTTTAACTTGCATAGCAAGCAGGTACCCGTAGGCAGGATTTTCGATGGGGAGGTGGTTTTGCAATCGGAGTGGACTATGGATCCCCGCGAGGTTGGGGCGAATCTTCTGACAGCTCTAACTTAATTAGCATTTTGAGGGCCTTTTTAATGGATTTCTAAAATCCATAATTTGTAATATCTTATTTAAATTTTCATTCATTTGAGTATTATTGTATAGGGACCTACAGTAAAGCAGGAGAAATAGAGGGCGGGGTGAAGGGAGAAACTTGCACAGACAGATGGTCAATACCGCCTCAGCCCTATGGAACGCCATCGCTGCCTTCGGTAACAGCTTAACATTCGGCGCATTTACATTCGGCCCTTTTACCATTACGTTCGGCTCTTTTACCATTCGGCGCATTTACATTCGGTCCTTTTACCATTACGTTCGGCTCTTTCACCATTCGGCACATTTTCATTTGGCCCTTTTACCATTACGTTCGGCTCTTTTACCATTCGGCGCATTTTCATTCGGCCCTTTTACCATTACGTTCGGCTCTTTTACCATTCGGCGCATTTTCATTCGGCCCTTTCACCATTCGGCGCATTTACATTCGGCTCTTTTACCATTCGGTGCATTTACATTCGGCGTAGTATTTACATTCGGCGCAAATAAATAAAATATAACCTTTGACATTGGGTCAAATGAAAAAATTGAGCGGCTGTGGGAATGTATGGGGTGCCATAGGCAGCAAAAATCAAAATGTAATTGCAAAATTCAATGTCTAATTTATCAAAACGTAGGCGTAAATTTCTCAAAATGTAGATCTGGTTTCCCAAAATGAAGTTCTAATTTAACCCACATAAGCCTGTCTCTTATACACATCTAGATGTGTATAAGAGACAGGCACTAGAAACGGACTTTTGCTGCGTATGGCACTAGACTTGCGAAATGTAAATCAAAACTAATCAGCCAAGCATGACGTGGGCCTGTTCCATTAATGATGGGAGAATCATTTTTCACTGCAGTCAAATGCCGTGAACAACGCTTCCCAGTGCGTCTGCTAATTTTTAATGGTCAGGATACCACGATCACGAGCCCTATGCTTGGCATTATAGGTTTTATAGATTTTAATAATTTTCTCATTTTCAAGGCCATCGAATTTCCGAATTCACTCAATACTATAGTGGAAAGATAAGAAAGGTCCACCACCGCAGTTTAAGACTAGCAGCGTCAGTCATGAGCAAGGCTTGCTTTCCATTATTTCCTATTTCGCAATTGCTTTAAGTTCCGGTAATCAGTTTTATTGACTTGAGCCATTATGTCTGTGTAAACATCACGTGGTTGAATTCATACTTTCAATTAATTTTGTGTCAAGTAGGCCTACGTACTTGATTTCGGGTAGACATTCCGGGTGTATTTAAACTTTCCATGTAAATCCGTTTCGATCTGCTTTCCAAGTCATTCAACTACTGCAACGTGTTCAGAGGACTACACGTCCTATACTGATGCCTAAATTTACTTACAGTAGTTGAAATACTTCGTCTACATTATATGGTTGTTCACTAAAATAGGCCTAAAGATAGTACACATCATCTATTCACATGGGTGGCGGAACCGGGGGGCCGGGGCCTAGGCCTCCACTTTTTGGCACAAAATATATAATGTCTATGGAGATTTTTGTATGATCGGAATAAAATGCAAGAAAAGAAAGAGGGAAGAAAGAGAAGAGGGAAGGGAAAGAGAGTGTTTATCTAGTCCCCGACCGAGTTAAATATTTTTGCAATTCACATTGGCGGATGTGAGGGGATCAGGGGTCCTAAACCCTCTCCCTTCGGCTAAAAAGAAAAAAAAAAATAATAAAAGAATTCTAGACCCACATTTTCGGGACCCGTGAGCTGATTTTTTTTCTCTTTGTAACAATAAAAAAGTTCAATTCATTTTTAAATTAATGTGTTTTTTATATGCATTTTTTTATTTCTTCCATTTTTATCATTTTAATATTTTCTATTTGTCTGGTGCTGTGCTTTTTATCTATTGTTTTTTTAACGTTTGTTTTGCGAATGTCTGGAATTTTGGTGTTCTGTTTTTAAATTTTTAAGCAAGTATTGCAGTACACTTATATATACTCTTTTATTGACTGTCTGCAATTTTTAGTTTATATTTTTATCTGAATAAATAATAAAGACCTTGAATACAAAATTAGAAGTCGGGAAAGCTCATTTCTCGCCGTCTAGGAATCAACATTTTCTAGGGAATGACTCCCCGACCCCCATTTATTTTTGGGGTTCATTGATTCATGGAAAAAAGAATACGTATGCAAAGTATGTATAACGGTACACACATGTACACAGGCCTATTTACTGTAACAAGAATGAAGAATGAAAAAAACCTGACCGTTTTCAAGAAGGAAAACCTTGAATTTTGAAGGACATAAAAGTCATTAAAAGACAATTCTGAAGTCTGGAAAGCTCATTTCCAGTCATTTCGAAATCTACATTTTCTCGGGGGAGAACCCCGGACACAAAAAAATACTTAATTTTGTGTATGTGTGTTTCTTGTGAAAAATTGTGTCCCCCACCCCCTCTAAAATTAAACCCATTCATATTCCTATTTATCTTACTAGTGGGGGCCCTTCCCCCGTCCCCAACTTTGAAAAAAGTTCCACCGGCCCTGATTCAGACATGGGGGGGGGTGGGTGTGTATATATATACATTAGAAAAGAGTAGGGGTTATCCTGGTGTACTGGTCGCAAGTTATTTCCGAACTTTACCTTATAAAAAATATTAAACACTTCTTCACAATTTTATTAGTCTCCCAGCCACGAAACATGCAAGAATATAAATTATAAAAAAGAGAATATCACATATATTGTTTAAAAAAATATAATAGATATAATATTGGCAAGCTTCAAAGAGCAGGAAGAATGATTTGTGTGTCATCAGTCTAAATACTGTACTTGACTTTATAATGGGAATGCATACACTGAATCCCTAAAACAACATAGAACATATATTTTTTTTTATCAGCTGCCGTATGTAAACTGATCTGCACACATCATTTTTCTTTTCACTCTCTCCTCAATAATCGATTCTGCTTTTTTCTCTCTGCAAATGTTTATAATATCAACCCAAAAAAACTAGATAAAATATTACCATGGTATATTTAGCATACACTGAATATATACACTCGTTAAAAATACAAATACCAATCAAATTTTTTTCATTACTATTATTAACAGTGGCGGATTCAGGAATTTCGGAACATCGCAATTTCGTTCCGCATTCACAATTTTTATAACCTACACCAAAAAACGGTGGTATACTCAAAGTAATTTTAACTGTATTTCAATAAAACACTTTATAATCAGATATAATCCTCTATCAAATTATTTTACCAGTATACTAGGCTATCCAAAGGAATTTGGCAATTACAACACTAAACACATGTTTAAAACACTTTCATAGATAGCACAATATTAGAATTCTGTATATTTATATAATTTTTTCATCTAAATAACACTAAACCAGCATACTGAGTATATCATAAGAACAGCATTTGAGATAATTTTGAATATAAGGCCTAAAAAAATAAATTGTTTGTTTGCCCTTTAATGCTGAAAATTGTATAGGAGGGACGGGCACAAAAAAGGTTTTTTTTTTTAGTTTTTTTTTCTCCCGTCACCAAAATTCACATTTTTACATTTCGCTATTTGTTTTTCAAAGGATATACATCAGACTGAAAAATAACCGATAATCGATATTTTGCAATGAATTTAGGTCTAGAATGGTGATCACTTTTTAAAATTTGTGAACAAAAAATCGAAAGAAAAAAAAAACTTTTTTTAAAAACACCGCCCCTACTTTTCCGTGAGCTAGGGGCAGGCGCTGCAGGGCAAACAAACAATTTTTTTAGGCCTAATAAGGATGATGAAAATTAAATCGTCATCGTGCTTTACAAAAATGGGACATTTACACAGTTTGGGTTTGAGATGCTGCCAGCATCTTGTCCAGCTACCAATGTCATTGCATCTCCATTGTCATCAGGTTCTCCAGTAGCTTGTATCTGTTGCTCAGGGTTCGGAATCTGAGCTTGGGTCACCGTTTGAAGTGGCTGACTTTGTCCAGGAATCATGACTGTCTGATTGGTTGGCTGTCCCTGTTCTTGAACCATACCTACTTGCCCCACACCTTGCACAAACATTGGCTGTTGAAACACTGGTTGCCCCTGACCTTGATGTACCATCATTGGTTGCCCCTGAGCTTGGACGATCATTGGTTGCCCCTGACTTTGATGTACCATCATTGGTTGCCCCTGAGCTGGAAGCATCATTGGTTGTCCCTGTCCACCTACCATCATTAGCTGGCCAGAACTCTGGAGCGACATTGGTTGCCCCTGTACCTGGACGGCTGGTTGTTGTGCACCATGTACTTGTTGTTCTTCTGGTCCAGAGGTTTGAGCTCCTACTTGTTGGTTCTGAGCAGCAATAAGTTGGTTGGGAAGCATCATAGGTTGGTGCTGCACCATCATCGGCTGGTTTTGTACCATCATCGGCATACCATGTGCTGCTCTTGGTACAGGTAACATCATCACACTACCATTGGGGCCCACAACCATCTGGTATTGTTCATTATTCTTTAAAAAAAAAACTTAAATTAGATATTTTGTAAATGTACTTGCTGTTTATTTTAAGTGAGCCACTAATAGCCACTCCTACCATTTTCTCAAGGTACGTTCTGACAAGCGAGTGTTAAGCTTTGAAGTGGCAGTTTACTTGTCGTAAGCCCTGGGTAGTGCCCGTGAAGACGCTCTTCAACATTGCTGCAGACTATTTACTCCTGAGCAGTCAAAGCAGCAGGTGTGTGTGCTACGTACATGTACACAAGAAATGTAAAGGAATACACGCTTTGAGTAGCGATGTGTACATGCACTTACTTCAAATTTATTTTGACCTCGATTTTTTTCAAAAAATAAATACCTACAAATGAATGCCAAAATAACATTTCCGGTGATGTACACACAATATTTTCATAATTGTTTACTTATGAAGAATTTGTGTGCAAAATAACTGTTGAGAGACAACGAAAGTGTTGATTATCACTTCCTGAAAATGTGCATAGTTACTTCTAAGCTTTGAACTAGCTTTGAATAAAAAGAACATTATGCCCTGGGTAAGCATCGTGTGGACACTCATCAGAAATAACATGCGCATAAAATTTTACGGCTGTTGTAAACTTTACTTTAGGCGTAAGGCCGTCTCAACATAACTTCAGTCACAGTTACCATAATGAAATCATCACATCTACTGTAAGTTCAGTCTGCACATTGATAAGGATCTGCTTGTGGTTCGTCTTGTTTAAATTATTATCGTCGTCATCATCTTTTTTATGTTTAATATGAACATACCTTGTTAAAATTATTATAATTTTTGTATTACTGTATAAGATACATAAAAACAAAGAAACAAACCTTAGTTTGACAACAGTTGCAGTTCGAGCCCTGACAACAAAAGTAACAACTCAGTTGACAAAAAGAAAGGCCAAAGGTCACCATGCAGATTAGTGCTTCGAAAACGCCAAATCCCACAATGAATGAGTCCAGCAAAACCTGTTTTGTAGTAGAGTATTTAAAAAATAGTAATAATTCATTTTAGATTAACTCTTAGATATTCAAGCAAATAATCTCACAATGAATCCAGCAAAACCTGTTTTGTAGTACAGTATTTAAAAAATAGTAATAATTCATTTAGCTTAGATATTCAAGCAACTAATATTTAACTCACTGACTGGAGCTAGGTGTTTCCCAATGTCAAAATCTTTCCATTACTTTTTAATCTAAATCTTAAATGAAGTACATTCTAAAGTTGAAGAAGATACTTCGCAAATTACGGTATGATGTCATAGGCATTTTCAGAGGTTATTTCCTTTTATTGGTTGTTGAGTTTCGGTCCTTCAACTGCGAGGTTGGAGGTTCGAACCTTCCCTGTGCATTTCGCTTGTGTTCTTGGAAAAAGTACTTATAACTATATTTGTCTCTCTCCACCCATGAGTGTAAATAGGTATCTGGTTGTAGTTATATACTTATGTTAAAAAAGATGGTGGAAAGGATCAACTGGCCACTCAACCACTCCCTTTACCCTCATTGTCTTTTATGGTATTTAGAATATATATTTTCCTCTTATTGGCCTTTTTGGAGGCTCCTGAATATTACATGGAAAAACAAAATTAGAAATACAAGAGTACTAAGAAGAATGAATACAAAAAGGATACTAATCAAAATAATAAAAAGAAGAATGACTGGAATAGCTTGGCCATCTGGTCAGAAAAGAGGCACTGCAAAGAACACTATTGGAAGGGAAGATGGAAGGAAGTAGGGGCAGAGTTAGACCAAGGACTATGTGGATGGATAACATCAAGGAATGGTGTGGGATGAGGTATTGGCAATGTGTAAGGGCAGCACGGTGTAGAGGGGAATGGAAATCCATGGTAGCCAACCTGCTTTGAGCAGAGGACACCAACAGGTAACAGGTAGTGGCTTAGGCCTCTTTATAAGATTGTGTAGTGTATGTGAGAATGAGTTAGGGTCAGGAAGGTGATCTCGAGTAGCTACAGCCTGGTTATTATAATGGTCTAGTTTAGATAATATGTGGGTCATATGTCCTTATCCCATGATACATAGCTACTACTGTAGCATAATTTTGTCGTTCGTTTCAGTGCTTTATTTCTCCATACACAGGCCCGAGATGCAGTGGCATATCTAGGGGTGGGGCACACATCCACCAAAAAGCTTGCACTTCCACAGTTGTCCCCTAACCCCCATTGAAACTTTTCAAAGTACCTTATTTTGGAAGCTGGTGACCCATCCCTTAATCATCGCAACCCCCACTTCACCTTCACACCCCCCCCCCCCATTTCCAGACTAGATACACATTTGAAGCAATAAAATAAATAAATTTAATTTAACTGATTGATCCATACCCTTATGTTTCTGTCCTTGTGACTAGACATGTCACCCATTTCGCAACATCCAGGTAAACAGTCCCAGCAATAGGAAGGTGTTGTTCTGATGTTGTAGCAATTCCAATCGACACAGCCATACATGTGCTGGTTGTATTTGTCTTCGCTTATATTAGCAGAAGCCCATATGAACATATTATTAGACATTATAAAAGCTAGAATGGAAAGTGAAAAGAAATAGGGAATCTGGAAAAGAAGTGAAAGAACATGAAATTAATGGAATATATATGTGAAATTATATGAATTATATATTATTATATAGTCATTTATTTCTATTATATCATGATATATAAAAAAGTATCTCTTCGGAGATTCTGTCCTGTCGTCAAATGCTTACAAGTAGAGGGCGTACCATATTGACCTCTGTTATTTGCCATGCATTAAGAACTAGTGCTGTCCAACTAATTAATCTTAACTCCTTAGAATACAGAATATTTCTTAGTCTCAGTTTCATGTATAAAATAATTAATGAAAAAATCCAAATCTCCCATAGTTATATTTCATTTAATACCCGTAAACTGCACCCCAATGCTCTATCTTCCTCATGCCAGATGCAATGCACTTCACAACTCCTTTTTTCACTGTACTCCAATCACCTGAAAGAGTCTCCCTATTTCAATACGTCTGTGTCCTCAATCCAGTCTTTTAGAACATCATTAATACAACACCTTCATGACAAGTCCAGCCCTACAAATCATGTTTTAATAACTAACCTAACTGAATTCACTTCAATGCAATATTTTGATCTTCATTCATTATTATTGTCATTATTATTACTTTTTTTTAATTATTTATTTATTATTATTATCTGTATTATTATTATTATTATTATTATTATTATTATTATTATGTCTTTGCCTTTATCATTATTTCTCTGGGTAGGAATCTTGTACAGGGACATGTGCATACCAGACTCATTTCGTTTTCAGTGAAATAAAATTATGAATTATGAATTACACCA